TATTTTACTGAATTCTTTAATAATCCACTAGGTGTTTCGCCCGCATTTGCGGACATAATTCTCTTATAAAAATTTATTAATTGATGTTTCATTAATTTAAAAACCAACATAATAAGTTATTATTTGTGTTTTGAGAAATACAAATCAAACATCAAATAATTATCAATGACAAAACTCAAACATCAGAAATATTTAAAAGAATATATTTCTATAATTATTATGCTTGATTTATATTTAATTAAAATATTTATACAAATATTTTACTTATTTTATATTTAATTATATTTTTATATCTTAATTAAAAAATTTCTAATAGAAAAACATATTTTCAAGATAACAATATAATGCATAAGTTATTTATTTTATAAAAATACAATATGATAAAAAAAATTAATTATATATAATTATATAAGATTATAGAAATTATGACATAATTAAAATTACCTAAAATCATGGAAAACTTAATAAATCAGCAAATTCACTTCTTAATTATTTTTTCTTCAGTGATGATTTATATTTAATTAATAATAGATAATTTTCTACTTTACTTTTAAATTATATAATATAAAAATATATTTTTAAGATAACAAAATAATACATAAGAATTACCTTATTTTCTAAAAGTATAATATTATTAGTGTAAATTAATTTCAATTATAGTTTAACTACAACTTTTTAATTCTTAATTTTAAATTTCTAACAGAAAAATATATTTTCAAAACAACAACTTAATATATAAGAAGTAACTTATTTTCTAAAAATATGATACTATTAATAGAAATTTGTTTTGAATATATTATAAATTATATATAAAATTATAGAAATTATGATAAACAATCCAAATTACCTAATAGATTCTTTACATGTTAATTTTAAAATTTATAGTAGAAACTACATTTTCAAGATAACAACATACTACATAAGAATTAAATTATTTTCTAAAATATCATATTAATAATATAAATTAGTTTTAATTATATAATCAATAATGAACAAAATTAGAGAAATTCTGATAAATGATCAAAATTACTTAAGATCATGGAGACAAATCAACAAATTCACTTTTCAAATATTGTTTTTGATGATTTATATTTAATTATTAATAATATAATTTTATATCTTAAATTTAAATTTTATAATACGAAAATGTGTTTTCAACATAACAACATAATACATAAGAGTTATCTTATTTTAGAAAATATGAAATTATTAATATAAATTTGTTTTAGTTATATAATAAATATAATAAGTTTGATATCTTAAATTAAAATTTAAGTTTTATATATAAAATATATTTCAAGATAATAACATAATTCACAGGAATTATTTTATTTTCTAAAATTATGATATATTCATATAAATTTGTTTTATTTATAAATAAATTATATATAAATATTAAAAATATGATAAATAAACAATTACCTAAACTTATGGAGAACATGACAACTAAGCAAATTTACTTCTTAAATAATAATATAGATAACTAGACTTGTGCGGGTATTTTAATACAAAATATTTGAAATTATATAACATTCATTTCGTTTTAAATTAGATGATATTTAAAAAGATTTATTTTGCTTCAAAATATAAGATGTTTTAAGATTTTTAAGGTATGGTTTGAGATTTTAAGGTTACCTTTAACTTTACATGAGATTGTTCAAACAATAAAATTTTACTGTTTTTAGTAATTCGTGGAATGATTTTAAAATTAAATATTTACAAATACTTTTCTAAACAATGTAAATTTCTTAATTTTTATGCAATGATCCAAAATATCATATAATAAGAAACAAAGGGAGTAAAAATTATCAGAAAATAAATATAAATTGATTTTGTATACTATCCATATTTATAATAATATTTATGTGGCTTATAATGTTATTAATATAAAATTTATAAATTTTATTTTTGTAACAATTTTTAAAAACCTTATTATGTAACATTACTAATTTATATTTTTTATTTCTAAATTTGAAATATATGTAAAAACTAAATTATGTTGGACCTACATAATACATAAAGAAAACTTTGGGATATTGTTAAAAGTATTTTACATAATTTTAATTTTTTATTTATAAATAAAAGATGATTTAAATTTTAATTATATTTTATGATAATTAAAATTTTAATCAAATAATTTTTGAAACTCTATCTTGAAAATATTCTTAAAGATTTTGTTAGAATTTTCTTGAAACTATTTATTTATATTTCAAATAAAAATTAAAGATATGAAAAGATATTATAATAATGTTACGTACAATTTTATAAACTTTCTAAGTATAGTCCAAACTAAAAAAACACACTAATATAATAGATAGTAAAGTAAAAAAGGAAAAATTCCATAAAACTATCCTAACTAAATGCCGTTAAGCTTTTTAATATCTAAATTTTTGGTTATCCAATTTTATACTCCAAATAATTAGTTTACTTATTTGAATACACAAGTTTTTATAAATGTGTCTATTTTAATTCTCAATTTTTTTTTCTTTTAATTAACAATATTAAGAAGTTTTAACGAAATTTAAAACAAATTCTCTAAAATATAAGAAAAATATTTAAAATTTCTAAGTTTACTTGGAGATTTAATAAAGAATGTAAATAAACTCAGGAGAAATTTTAAAGTTTTTAAAAGTAATTTTAAAAGAAAAAAAATATATTTTTTAGAAAACAAACTAAACTCAGTATTTATAATTATTTCAACCCTTAAGATTATGAAAAACTATCTACTTTTATTTATCAAACAAAAAATAAAATTAGAATTTTCTGTAAAGTTTAGAGATTTTTAAAAATTCATTTGAAACTTATTAGTATTTTTATTAAAATAAACAAAGGGTAAGTATTAAAATGGGCACAACTATAAAAGTTTGTGTATTAAATCAGAAAAATAATTAATTAGAGTATTAAACTTGGTTGTGAAAAAGTTTAAGTATTAAAAACTTTATTGAAATTTAGTTAGGATATTTTATGAATTTTTTGCAAGTAGAAAAGAAAGGAAAATAATCATACTTTTATTAAAGTAGTTAATTTGGTAAAATAGCATAATTTGTCTTGAGGCTCGAAATCTGTAAGAGAAAACATTGTAAATTAGACATGACTTCAATAGAAAATTCATTTGGATAGAAATACTCAAACAAAACCATGTTCAATCAATATTTTTGATTTTTTTTTTTTGTACTTTTCAGTAGCTTGGATACAAAATACATGAATCACACTGGGTAATATGGTTACTTTAAGTATAAATATCTGAATTCGTTTTAGATACATTGGTTATTCGGTTATTTTTAAATTCCTAAACATCGGAACTGAATCCACCTGAATCCGGATTGATCCTACTAGAACCCGACCCAAAATTTTGTAATACCCACATGGGTGCTAATTTCAAAATCTGAAAACCCCAATACCAGTACCAATTGAACTAGAATCAGGTCCACTTGTAATATATATATTTTAAGAAAATTTTACCATTAGAGCCCAAATATTTTTTGTTTAGGCCCCCATATCTTCGGGACGTCCCTGCTTATGTGTGTGAAAAAGATGGTCCAAAGATCCAGTTTAAATGGGTACGCTACGGAAGGCGCAATACTAATATATGGGCCGAGTCTTTGCGTGTTAATAATTAATACGCATCGTTTTGGGACTTTCCTTTTCTCTGTTTTCTTTTTCTAAGAGAGAGAATAATGTTGCAGTTTCCGACGTTAATGAGCCAGTTTCCGTCATCGACGAACACGATTCCGGCATCTCATTTACTACCTATACAATGGCCCCAGCCGTAAAACGAAGAGATTCTTCTCGCCATGGAAGAAGCTGAGTTCGAAGAAAAGGTATCTCAAGTCTTTAAATCCGTAAAAATACGAGGTGAATCCGAGTGATAGCGGTATATGTTTAATTTACTGTTTGCTGATGGATTGAAAGATGAAAAGGGAGAGTGATCAAAATCCGACTAGTTGTCATTATTTCGAATGTTGTTATTGTGAATGCTAAGATAAGTTTTTGATTATTTTTTTTTGGTTGTGTGGGTGTTTGGTGCAGTGTAACGAGATAGGAAAGATGAGTCCTAGCTTACCCGTAATTGGAAAACCAGTGGTTAATAACCATCAAGAAGAAGATGATAATGAGGCAGATGATGATGATGATGCAGATAATGCAGATGAGTCTGATGGTGAAGAATTCGAGCAAGAAACTGGTTGAATGATCTCCATAACCAAAAAACAAAGTTCATTGATGATGGCATTAGCTTGATCTTTTGGCTTACCTTTTTCTGAACCTGCTTTTGCCAAAACGACTGTGATTCTTAGTTTGGAAGCTAGTTTTCCTTTTCTAGAACAAGTTGAAATATTAGTTAGTTTTGGCCTCATAAAATTTATCCATGTTCTATTAGTTTTGTCTGAGTTTCATGGTGCTCTTTTTCTTACCTTGAAATGTTAAAACCATGTGGGTTGGCTTTGTGTGTTGTGTAATGACAATCCAGTTTCATGATATATTGACTTGACAATGACATTTTCCTAAATTTAACCGGTCTTGACTTGTAAGAAAATCAGAGTGTCTAAACTATGAAACTTCAAGAATGTATATTAGCTGAAAATATGAATATGATTTAAAATTGTGTGAAAATTGAGTCTTTTGTGACTTTTAATTTAAGATGCTGACAATGAGCTGAATTCGTGTACACTGTCTGCTGGTTGATTTTTCCAACAAAAAGAAGTTGAAGTTAATTTAAGCAGAAAACAAGAGATGTGTGGTACTACTACAGCTACTCCAAAAATCATTCTCTAATAATCATTGAACAAACAACACCTAATATTATTTTCTTTTGTGGTATTCCAAAGTTTTGAAGGACGGGACAAGTAACTCACCAACTTCCACATTCTTTAGTCTTTCATTATGTCCCATTCACACGTTGCGCGAATTTTGGAAGTCCACTAAAATACGCAGTCAATTTACCTACTCATAATGTGTTCTTTCTCATATGGTTCGACTAATTTAATGGACTCTGATAGTATTTAACTCTTTTTAATATTCTCAATAGGAACCAGTGTGAGCCAACATAATAGAAACCAAATGTTGGCAAATCAGAAAACAATAAACAATTTAACATCAACAAACAACAAAAGAATAACTTCAATCATTATCAAAGAGGCCTAAACCAAAAACACAAAGAGATTCAAATGCGCGAACGGTAGACACGTGTTGCCAAAACGAATCCACTAACTTACACGCGTCTAACATCCCTGATCACAGACAACAATACAGTACTCTCTCAGTATTCGCCACGTATCACATGCGAACACGTGGTAACGGTTTCGTAACGGTCCCGGACGAACATTCCATCTCGTTCTCCGTCTAAACTAATTTTCTCCCGTGATCACGATCTCCGACGGTAAATGCAAAAAGGAAAAAACATTTCATTCTTCTCTTCACATCACAATCACATCGTATAAAAACTAATTCTTATATTTTTTTAATATTTTTATTTGTTTTATTTTTCAAATTTTTCGTCAATGCCGGATGAGTTCTTTGTTTCCACGATTCGCATAACAATACGATTCTCCGTAACCGTGAATGTATCTTCTACCAATCTCCGTGGGATGTAAACAATACCGAGACTGTAGATACCTCCCGTACGCCGAAGACGGCGAGTTCGGCGGGGAAGGCGTGACGGAGAACAACGGAGATTTCGGAGATCGATCGCTGCTCGAAGACGACGGAGATTCCTGTCTATTATTCCCTCTCGGAGGCGATAGAACGGCTCGGATCTTGGCTCCGGTGACGCGATCGTACTCCTCCACGATGTTCGCTAGCTCCTCGTCTGATTTGACGGTGATTAGAGTCTCGAGATCGCCGTTAGGTAACTGACATCGTAGATCAACGGAGTATCCGCAGAATTCGATTAGTTTCTTCGTTAACTCTGGAAAATAACAAAAGTTAAAAATCAAAAATCAAAATTAATCTCAATTAACGGAGATGAACCTTCGAAAGAGATGGAACGATGGACGGAGAGGACTCTGGTGTGACCTCCGACGTAACGGAGCTTCCCGTCGGTGGAACGAGGGAGGATTTTGCCGCCGTAACTGCATAGAAACTTGAGAGTGTTTCCACTGTTCTTCTTGTTAATATCAACGGCCACCATTTCGTTAGGGCTTTTTTTTTTCTTTAGTAAAAAAAACAATTTTCTCTTCTTTTTTTGTTTACTTGGTTTTCTTTGGTGTTTTAAACCGAGAAGAAAGGAAGCAGATGGGGTGGTTTTATAGGCAGGGTGTGACGTCACCGGTGGGACCCTACGCGTATGGGAGTAAATGGAAAATTCGTTGGACCTTCTATGGGCTTTTGGACCAATTCTGTTATTCCATAACGGAATATTCTCTATTTAATTTGTCAACTTCTCTCTTTAATTAATTTCCATAAAGAAATCGCGTTATTTAAAGTTGGCTCAACAAAGAAGAACGCTAATAATTAATTTTTGATTATATAAAGACTGGGTGATGGGTGATGGATGATTCGTACCATTTTAGCAGCCCTTGTCTTCCATGTTTATGTATTAAATCACATGAAAATTGATTATTCAAATATATTTGTTTGATTTTTTTTTTTTTTTTTTTGCATTTAATGTGAGCTTTATTACGTTGAAAATTTGAGATTCCTGGTAGGGCATATAATTTTATCATCACCAGTGACTCGATTTTGTTTAGAAAAGTATTCCTCAAGCTGAAATATACTATAAATAAATTGTTGAAAAAGCATATACATGGTATATTCCGAAAATATGTGATGAATTTGGCGTAGATGGTAAGTCTTTAAGATTCCAGTAATTTGGTGTAGATG